GGACAATGGAGAACATTTTACAAGGTCTACCCCAGGTCATTATTTATTTAGATGACATGCTAATAACAAAAGAGCAATAAGGAACACTTAGAGAACTTGGACATAGTCCTTAGATATTTTTCCCAGGTGGACATATGCCTTAGGAGGGAAATAATGTGTGTTCCAGGCACCCCAAGTGACCTATTTGGGCTACAGAGTCAACAAGACTAGATTATACTCATTGGAAGATGAACTGAGGGTGATTAAAGTTGCTTCCCACATTTGTACCAGAGCTTAAATCTTTCCTTGGATTGGTGAATTACTGCAGAAAGTTTGTACATAAACTGGTCATCATCCTGACCTTTCCATCAACTATTAAAAGAGGATCAGCCTTGAAATGGTCACATAGCAAAATCATAGCTTTCAAGGAAGTGAAGAAGCAGCTACCATCCTCTAAGGTGTTGGCACACTATGATCCCAAATGAGATTTGGTATTGACATGCAATTCCTCCCCGTATGGCATCTCGGTAGTATTAGCTCATTGGCAGTCCAATGGAGAGGAATGCCCAATAGCATATGCATCCAGTACTTTGGCTAATGAAGAGTGTAAACACACACAGATAGAGAAGAAAGGTTTGGTGGCCATATTTGGAGTCAGGAAGTTCCACCTGACGTTCCAAGGACAACATATTATTGTGGGGAGTAAGATTATGCCAAGCAAAGGTCACTGCCAGATCATGGCTGAACTCCATCAGGGTCATCCAGGGGTTTCCAAAATGAAGATGTTAATGAGAAGTTATGTCTGGTGGCCAGGAATTGGATGCTGACATAGCTGCATTGGTGGGCAGTGCCCAGAGCACCAAAAAGGACAAAAATTATCACTGACAGCTCCCCCACATTCGTGGGAATGGCCAGGTAAACCCTGGATTCAGTTACATGTCAACTATGCAAGTTCTTTCATGGGCTCAATGTTCTTAGTCATTGCAGACACCCACCCAAAGTAGTTGGATGTGCATAGAGTTCATTCGTCAAACATGGGGATGACAATAGAAAAACTGTGCGCATCTTTTACAATACACAGAGACCCAGAAATGTTGGTCACAAAAAAATGGGACATCATTTACCAGCAGGGAATTTGAATATTTCCTAAAGTTGAATTGTATTTGACATATAAGGACAGCTTCATATTATCCATCATTTAATGGTGTGGTAGAAACACGAGTCCAAACTTGCTTCATTCAATACCAAACTGTCCTCGTTCCTGTTTGATTATAGGACCACTCCTCATCCTACAGGGATAGCTCCACCAGAGTTGCTAATGGGGAGAAGAGTCCACTCCAGTATATATCTGATCTTCCCGGACCAGGGAGGGGGGTGGTGAAACAGCATCAGGAATGCCAATGCTCAAGACTCCACTAAGCGAGAGAGACAGTTTACTTCAGGGAACAGAGTTTGGTGCATGAAGCACAGGAATAGCACTGCATAGGTAAGAGGTGTGGTCAATGATAGGTTAGGTCCAGTGACATATAAAGTTCAGGTAAGTGCAACGGTCCTGAGCAAGCACGTGGACTGTATTAAAGCCACAAACTCGCAAACAGTACAGGAGCAAAATGTGCTCGGCTCCTTAACAGTCTTTCTACCGTTCCTGAACCCATGGGCTCTCCCTCTCCATCAAGCATTGAAGATACCTCAGAATCTGAGATGTCCACTGTGGATGTCACTGCCTCAAGGTCTTTGCCACCTGAAGAAGAGAATGACTTTCTTCTGAGAAGCTCTGGGCACAAGAGACAAACTACTGTATGTTACACACCACCCATATCAAAGGCAGAGTTGGAGGAACCTGACCCAGCGCTAAAACACCCCAGGAAGAACTACTAAAAAGAAACTGGCCTATGTCCTCGGACTCAGAGGGGAGGAATGCAATGGTTATAATGAGGTCAGCCAGCTGGACCTCGTAAACATGAGTCCCTAATTGGGGCTGTTAATCTGGTCCAATCAGGGAGCCCTAGCTGATAGATAAAGACAGCTGTGTCAGACATCCTGTTCTCTTTGACAGCTGGCTCTGGGGGAGCTGCATCAGTGTCAAGAACCCTCCACCTGTAAATAAAAAGTGACTTGGTGACAGGAGACCGGCCTTTGTGGAGTTATTTCATATCCTTCATTTTTGTAAATTATCTTATCTTATTTCTTTCATCATCCAGGGAGTTTTGAATTTGTTTGCCGTACCTTTCCCTTTTGTAGTAATGAACCATGACAGTATCTGAAGTATCACTTTTTTAAAGTTTTGGCAATTTTTGCTTCCAATTGAGCAGGACCAGCTCCATTCTTATCCCATGGAAGTTGACCATCATCCAATTCTGACTTCAGATGCAGGTTGTTCTTTTTGAAGGCCAACCAAATGTTACCAATGGGCCACATGATTGCTGTTTCCAAATGTTTCCTTCCTGGCTCTTGATCTACTTGGGACACTTTATTAACAAGAATCACATCCAGCGATGCCTCTTTTCTTCATTAGGCTAGAAAATTCTCCTGGTCATACAATAGGAGCTCTTGCTGCACTCTGTTCTAGACACTACTATTAATCCAATCTATATCCAGATCATTAAAGTTCCTCACTAAAGCTACATTTGGGATTATTTTAATGTTAAACTCATAGTTTTTTTTATTCTTTCACAGAATGTGAGCATCATTAGCTAAGCCAACAACAGCAGCATGAAAACAGAAGTTGCTTGATAAAGCTCAGCAGGTCTGAGGAACTGTTCTGAGGAAGGGTCACTGGACCCAAAACATTAACTCTAACATTTTCTTCACAGATGCTGCCAGACCTGCTGAGCTTTTCCAGCAACTTCTGTTCATGTTCCTGATTTACAGCATCTGCAGTTCTTTCAGTTTTTAGTTAGCTAAGCCAACATTTGTGGTCTGTCTTGCCTGTCTTGAACTGTTGCAGTCAATGAGGTGTAGGGACACTTAATATTAGGGAAGGAGTTCCAGGAATTTTTTCCAGCAATAGTGAGAAACAATAGTGTTGGTTTATGGCTTGGAGGGGAATTTACAAGTGGTGGTATTCCCACACATATGCTGCCTTTGGATTTCTGGGTTGTAGAGGCTGCGGTTTGAAAATGCTGTCAAAGGTACAGAAAGCTAACTACTGTGTGTCGGGAGTAGAGAGTTGGTGGGTGGGGTGCAGATCATCTGGGCTACTTTGTCCTAGATGGCATCACTCATCCAAGGAAGTGGGGAGTATTTCATCACACTCTTGACTTGTACCTTGTAGACAGTGGACAAGCATTGTGAGATAGTTGAGTTACTCACTGCAAGGTGCCCACTTCTGTACTATTCTTCTAGCCACAGTATATATGTTTCTGGTCCAATTCAGTTTCTGATCAGTTGTCCCTTCACAACCCCCAATGCAGGTGATAGTGGGGAAATCAGAGGGAATGGTTAGATTCTGTCTTATTGGAGATTGTCATTGGCATTTGTGTGACACTAAAGTAACTGAACACATCAGCCTAAGCCAGAGCATGCTGCATATGGACATGGGCTCCTTCAGTAACTGTGGAGTGTGAATGGTGCTGAACATCACTGAACATCCCCACTTCTGACCTTATGATGGAGGGAAGGTCATTGTTGAAGCTGCTAAAGCTTCCACTGGCGGGTGAAACTAGAACTTGGGGGCATAGCCTCAAAACAAGGGGGATTAAATTGAGGACTGAAATGAGGAGGAATTTCTTCACCCAAAAGGTTATGAATCTGTGGAATTCCCTGCTCACTGAAGCAGTTGAGGCTACCTCGTTGAATGTTTTTAACACAAAGATAGATAAATGTTTGAACGGTAAAGCAATTAAGGTGAGCAAATGGGTAAGTGGAGCTGAGTCCATTCAACTTTATTGAATGGCGAAGCAAACTCAATGAGCCAGATGGCCTATTCCTAATCCTATTTCTTATGTTCTTATGGTTGGGCTGAGATCACTACCCATAAGAAGGGAAGTCAATATATTTGAAAAACAATAATATCAAAAGATCTGGATGACAGAATAATAGAAAGTTTCAGAACACTATTAAAACAGGAATAATGGGCTGAATGGTATTGTAATTTATGCTTCTTAAACAAGGAACAGGAGTAAGTCATTCGACCTCTTGAGTCTGCTCTGTTATTTAAAAGCATCATGACTGACCTGATTGTAACCTCAACTCCACCCTTCTGCCATCCTTAGCTATCTTTTCACCACCTTGCTTTCCAATGATCTCTTGACATCTGGCTTAAAAGTCTTTGCTTCCATTACCTTTTGAGGAAGAGAGTGCCTAAAACTTTGTGAGAAAAATGTTTTACTTCATTCCTGTTTTAAATGAGCAACCTCTGACTGTGAAACAGTAACCACTAGTCCCAGATTTTCCCATCAGGGTTGGAGGTTGGAATGGTGTAGTGGTATTGTTGCTGGACTATCAATCCAGAGAATCAAGTAATATTCTGGAGATCTGCATTTAAATCCCACAATGATGGAAATTAAATTATTTTAAAACCTTCAAGAGGACATTCGATGATTATTTGGATAGAAATAGTATACAGGCATGTGGGGAAAAAGCAGGACATTGGCATTAGGTAATAGAACCAGTGCAGACATGCTGGGCCAAATGGACCTCTTCTGTGCTGTAAAAATTCTGTGATTCTGTGAAAAGGAACTATCCTCTCCACCTGCCTATTCTAGGTATTTGTCTGGTAGACCTTCTTCGAACTGCTTCCAATGCATTTACATCCTTCCTTAAATAAAGAGACCAAAACTATACACAGTACTTCCGATATTTTCTGACCTGTGCCCTGTATAACTGAAGCATGACATCCCTACTTTTGTATTCAATACCCCTCCCAATAAACAAAATATTTTTTACACTTTCCTATTTACTGAATGCACTTGCATTCTAGCCTTTTACAATTCATGCATTAGAACAACCAGACTGCTCCACATCTCACAGCTCTGTCAATTATTTAAAGTTCCTCTTTGCCACCTTTATCCACATTTTACCTGAATGTAGATTTTGAGTCGATCAAGTGGGGCAGTTGAGGTACGGGACACTGCTCCTGCTGTAGCTCCTGCTAACAACTGCTTCCACCACGTTGTCACATATGGCTGAGAACTTGAGGACTCTGAGAATAAGAAACCACTGTACATACCCGAGTCATGGTATTGATACTGTGAGCAAAAAAGATAAGGTTAAAAAATGTCCTTGAATCCTCTAAAAAGGTTTCTCCATTCTTTTTCCCCTGGAGGCTAGCGTTGACGATTAAGTTCAGTGTGTAAATGGTACCAGCTGAATAATTGACCAATAACAGGTGGGGCTGGGGAACACATTAGGAGAGGAACCTCTCAGACAATGATTCCCTTGCACTATCAATGGAGGCCCATGCGTTGAAATTTGCATGTCAATGCATTGGTCAGAGGCATTTAATGAAAGATTGTGTTTGCTGACACCATGGAACATGAGCACTATTCCATGTGAATACACACATGTGCATTAATGGAGCTGCCATGAACCAGGAGGAGGTTGGAGATGGACTAGGAATGTGAAGTAATCGGGCTGATGGTTGGGGGAGAGATCAGGCATGGGGCTGAAGGAGAAGGGATCATCTGGGGGAGGGAAGACATTGGGTCGTGTTCTGTTACCTGAGAACCAATCACACACTTGTTGGCAGGCAAAAGGTCCCTGTCATTGATAACTGTCATTAGTTGATAGACCAATTAACTTGTTTCCAAATGGATCTGCATCTGCACACACTCTTAGCTCCAAATCATTTGCAATTCAAACTTAAATTTACTGCTTGTTCAAGCAAAATACCAACACATGGTCCTTACAAGGTCATGTTATTCATATCAGAACGACAATCAAGCAAAGAAGAAGCACCCACCCAACTCAGCATAACAAATAACATAGAACATAGAACTGTGCAGCACAGGAAAGGGCCCTTCAGCCCACTATGTTGTGCTGAACATAATACCAAATTAAACTAATCCCTTCTGCATGCCCTTGGTCCATATCCCTCCATTCCTTGCATATTCATGTGCTTGTCAAAAGGTTCTTTAAATGACCCTATTGAATTTGCCTCCACCACCATCCCTGGCAGTGCATTCCACATTCCTACCACTCTCTTTGTAAAAAACCTGCCCCTCAGGTCTCCTTTTCCCCTCTCACCTTAAATGCATGCCCCCTAGTATAAGACATTTCAACTCTGGAAAAAAGATTCTGACTGTCAACCTTTTCTATGCATCTCATAAGTTTATAGATTTCTATCAAATCTCCCCTCAGCCTCAGCCGCTCAAGAGAAAGCAGCCTGAGTTTCTCTAGTCTCTCCTTGTAGCTCATACCATCTAACCCAGGCAGCATCTTGGTAAACCTCTTCTGCATCCTCTCCAAACCCTCCTCATCCTTCCTGTAATGTGCGATCAGAATTGAATGCAATACTCTAATTGTGGCCTAACCAAAGTCTTATAAAGCTGCAACATGACATCCTGACTCTTGTACTCAATGCCATGACCAACAAAGGCAAGCATGCCATATGCCTTCTTTACCACCCTATCTACTTGCATAGCTACTTTCAGGGAGCTATGGACTTGAACCCAAGATCCTTCTGTACATCAATGCTGTTCAGAGTCCTGCCTTTAACTGTATATGTTCCTTACCATTTGAACTCCCAAAGTGCAGCACTTCACACTTACCTTTTGACAACCTTCTACACTATCCACAACTCCACTGATCTTTGTATCATCTGCAAACTTACTAACCCACCCATCTACATTTTCATCTAAGTCATTTATATATATCACAAACAGCAGAGGTCCCAGTATGGATCCCTGCGGAACACCAATAGCCACGACCTCCAGCCTGAAAGGCACCCTTTCACTACTACTCTCTGTCTTCTATGGGCAAGCCAATTCTGAACCATGAGGCCAAGTCACTGTGGATCCCATGCATCTTAATCTTCTGGATGAGCCTACCATGAGTGACATTGTCAAAAGCCTTATTAAAATCCATATGAACAGCAACCACATGATCACCTTTGTCACCTCCTCAAAAAATTCAATCAAGTTAGTAAGACATGACCTACCCTGCACAAAGCCATGCTGACTGTCCCTAATTAGGCCATGCTTTTCCAAATGCACATAAATCCTGTCCCTAAAAATTCTCTTCAATAGCTTCCCAGCCACCAATGAGAGACTCACTGGTCTGTTGTTTCCTGGATTATCCCTATTTCCCTTCTTGAACAGAGGAACAACATTAGCTGCTCGCCAGTCCTCTGGGACCTCTCTTCAGTGACTAGCAAGGATACAAAGATCTTGGTCAAGGGCCCAGCAATCTCCTCTCTTGCCTCTCTCAATAACCTGCGGTAGATACCATTGAGCCCTGGGGACTTATCCACTTTAATGCTCTTCAAGAGATCCAACACCACTTCTTTCTTGATCTCAAAATGCCCTATCATGTTAGCATGCTCCACACAAATCTCACTATCCTTCATATCCTTTTCCTGGGTGATACTGATGCAAAATACTCATTTAGGACTTTACCCACGTTCTCTGCCTCCAAGCACAAGTTCCCTCCTTTATCTTTGAGTTTTCCTACCTTCTCCCTAGTTATTCTCCTGTTTTTAATGTATCTATAGAATGCCTTGGGATTCTCTTTTACCCTAAGGTCATTTCATGGCCCCTTTTTGCTCTCCTGATTCCCCGATTGTGTACTTTCCTGCTTTCTTTATATTCCTCACAGGCCCTGTCCAATTTTGGCTTCCTAAATCTTACATATGCTTCTTTTTTCCTTTTGACTAAATTCACAACCTCCCTCGTTATCCAAGTGTCCCTTACCTTGCCATCCTTATCCTTCCTCCTTACTGGAACATGCCGGTCTTGAACTCTCCCCAGCAGGTCTTTAAACAGTTCCCACGCCTGATAACAGCTCCTCCCAATTAACACTCCCTAGCTCCTGCTTAATACTAATGTAATTTGCTCTCCCCAGTTTAGTACCTTTCTGAGAGGTCCTGACTTATCCTTGTTCATAGCTATTTTAAAACTTAAGAAGTTGTGACCACAGTTACCAAAATGCTCTCCCACTGAAAGATCAGTCACCTGGCCAGGTTCATTAACCAATACAAGATCCAGTATGGCCCTTCCTCTAGTTGAACTATCCACATACTGTTGCAAGGAACCCTCTTGGATGCACTTAATAAATTCTGCCTTGCCTAAGCCTCTTGCTGTAAGGGGGTCCCAATCAATAATGGGGAAGTTAAAGTCACCCACTATGACAATTCTTTTTACTGCACCTCTTCATAATCTGCCTACATTTTTGTTGCTCAATCTCTCGGTGACTGTTGAGAGGCCTATAGTATAATTCTATCAGAGTGTTGCGCTATCTTATTTTTGAGCTTTACCTATATTGCCTCAGTGGATGAGCTCTCCAGCATGTCCTCTCTGAATGCAGATGCAACATTGTCCCTGATTAGTAATGTAACTCCTCCACCTCTTTTACCTTCCTCTCTATCTCATCTGAAACAACAAAACCCTAGAACATTGAGCAGCCAGTCCTGTCCCTCTCTCAACCTCTGTAATAGCTACAACATCATAGTCCCATGTACCGATCCAAGCTCTAAGATCATCTGCCTTACCTTTAGTACTCCTTGTGTTGAAATAAACACATTTCAGCCCATTAGTACCATTGTGTTCATTTATCTGTCTCTGCCTATCCTTCCTTCCTAACATCTACATTCACCTCAATCCTTCTACTTGCTGACCTGCTGCTCTGGTTTCCTGCCCCCTGCCACTCTAGTTTAAACCCTCTCAAGTAGCATTAGTGAACCTCCCTGTGAGGATATTGGTTCCCCTCCAGTTTAGGTGCAACCCGTCCCTCTTGTACTGGTCATCCCTGCCCCAGAAAAGGTCCCAATTATCCAAGAACCTGAAACCCATCCCCTTGCACCAGCTCCTTAGCCATGCATTCATCTGTCCTATCTTTTTAATCCTTGCCTCACGAGCATGTAGCACTGGTGGTAACCCAGAGATTACTACCCTGGAGGTCAATAAATGTGGAGTTGGAAGAGCACAGCTGGTCAGACAGCATCCGAGGAGAGGAAGGTCAATGTTTTGGCCTAAGCCCTTCATCAGGACTTTGACAACCCTTCACCACTACCCTCAAGGTCCTGCTTTTCATCCTCTTTCCTAACACTCTGTACTCACTCCGCAGGACCTCATTCCTTTTTCTACCTATGTCGTTGGTACCAATGTGCACCACAGCATCTGGCTACTCACCCTCCCCCTTAAGAATTTCGTGCAGTTGCTCAGAGATATCCTTGACCTTGGCAGCACAAGGGAAGCAACACACCATCCTGGAGTCTCGGATGCGGCCACAGAAACACCTGTTTGTGCCCCTAACTAGCGAGTCTCCGACCACTATCGCTCACTTGGATCCTGCTCGACAGCAGAGCCAGTTGTGATGCCACAGACCTGGGGGCTACTTTTATACTCCCTGAGAGGCTATCCCCTCAAACAATATCCAAAACAGTATACCTGTTAGAGAGCGGAATAGCCACAGAAGACTCCTGTGTCACCTGCCTAACTTGCCCGGTGGTCATCTGCTTTATAAGACTTTGGGATCTGTACTGGGATCTCTGCTGATTGTGATATATATAAATGAATTAGATGAAAATGTAGATGGGTGGGTTGGTAAGTTTGCAGACGATACAAAGATCGGTGGAGTTGTGGATAGCGTAAAAAGTTGTCAAAGGATAAAGATCAGTTGCAGACATGGGCGTAGAAATGGCAGATGGAGTTTATTCTGGTTAAGTGTGAGTTGCTGCACTTTGGGAGATCAAATGTAAGGGAAAAGTATACAATTAATGGCAGGACTCTGCTCAGCATTGATGTACAGAAGGATTTTGGGGTTCAAGTCCATAGCTCCCTGAATGTGGCTACACAAGTAGATAGTGTAGTAAAGAAGAACTATGGCATGCTTGTCTTTATTGGTCAGGGAATTGAGTACAAGAGTCAGGATGTCATGTTGCAGCTTTATAAGGCTTTGGTTAGGCCACAATTAGAGTGTTGTTTTCAATTCTGGTTGCCACATTACAGGAAGGATGTGGAGGCTTTGGAGAGAGGTTTACCAAGATGCTGCCTGGATTAGAAGGTACGAG